GGACGTTATAGTTGTCAAGTCTGGACTTTCTCGGAACGCTGAAGATCTTCTGTCCATCTCTAAGGCTGATCAGCCTGAGCCGGTCACCGATGTCACGACTCTCTTCAACCGTCTGCATGCTTTCTTCATGGCGCTCGAATACCTCAACATTTGCGCGTTCTCACGCGCCGAGGGCCCACTGAAGTACTTGCAGGAATTGGAGCAGTTCCGCTCGGAATGCCCCGGCTTGCCATTCCTCATGGCGGCGGACCGAGCTATCCGGAAGAAGATCTTTCGCCTGCTGTCTGAACAGAGGGCGACGTACATCTCGTTCTCGCAGGCCCTGGTCGAGGTGCTCACAAACCACAAATATTTGTGGAATGATGCTCGCACTTCTGCGACTCTCTCGAAGATGGAACAGAACCGCCAGCAGCTCGCGAATAACCCTGATCAGGTCAAGGAGGATGAGGTTCCTCCTCCTCCCCACACCCCGTTCAAAAGGCCTCGGGGCGGAGGGAAGAAGAAGAAGCGACTGCAGACTCCTTCGAAGGACGATCCGCCGAAGAAGGTCGTTAAGGAGGATCCCAACAAGAAGCTCAAGCGGGACAATCGGATCCCAGAGAAGGAGTGGAAGCTCATCGCCGATGCGGCCAAGAAGGTGCAGGGCGCTCGCCGGTGCCACTACTTCAACTCCTCGCTCGGGTGCGTGTCTGGCGACAACTGTCGTTTCAAGCACCTGTGCATGGTCTGTGGGGAGCCGCATGCCATGATCGGCAACCACTGATCGGTTCCCAGCGAATCTGATAGCGCTCCTCACCTTACCGTGTCCGGCGCGCGTGGGGGCTGTGATCTGGAATCCCGCGCGCAAGATCTCCTGAAAAAGCGAGCTCCGCTTCTACGTGAGGAGATCCTCGACTTGGCGACAGAGCTCCCTGTTCAAGGTCAGCATAAGGCTGCCGACGAACGAGGCGGAGCTTTCTTCGCGGGAGCCTATCGCCATGGAGGCATCACAAGACTGCGATCGTCTTGCCACTCATGGCCGTGGGCGATCAAGGCGATCACCAAGTACATCGCTCAACAGGCTCCTGAGGCGCTCTTCAGGTCGTTCGCCGTCCTCTACGATCAGGAGGCCGAACCTCACCGGGACTCAGGCAATGAGCCGATCCCGAACATTGTCTTCAAGCTCGGGTCGTTTGAAGGAGGCGGGCTCTGGATCGAAGACCCGCTCGGGCCCGATGTGCGAGAAATCGAGGGACGCTCCATCCCCGGTTTCAACACCGACTTCGTCGACGATAAGATCCTCTTCAACGCTAAGGAAGCTCTGCACGCGACTCTGCCCTGGATCGGAACTCGGGTGGTCCTCGCAGTGTACTCAGTGCAGGGGGTCGATCGGATCCCTGCCGACGAGTTCGAACAACTCCTTCAGCTGGGCTTCAAGCCGGCGCCGGTGAACACAGGTGATCACGTGGATCAGTCCTGGCAAACTCTCACTTTTGCGCTCGAGACCCCGGACTCCGATCGGAAGCGGCCCCATGGCGCCCCGGTCAAAGCCACGGAACATCGTCAAGAAGTCCGTGGTGGCTCCGCTGATCAGCACTGAGATGCACCCAGGTGAAGCGATCGCTTTCGCCTTGGAAGCTACACACCCGTTCACAAAGGACGCGGATATCGACCCCGATCTCCTTGATGTTCTTGAGCAAATTGTTCGTGATCCTGCTCAAGTGCGCGATCGTCGGGCCTCTCTTCTGCAGCATTGGGAACGGCGAGCTCAGGATTTGCTCCCGTCCTCTGATTTCTTGCTCAAGCAGATACCAGATCAGCATTTGCGCCGTCTTCTTCGCAGCGGCCCCGACGATCGTCCACTGGAAATGGGTCAGTTCTTCCACGTCGCCCTTTGGCGGGAGCTCATGAATGAGGCCAAATGCAGTGACACTGACCTGGTGGATCAGATCATGGCGGGCATGCCGATCGTCGGCGATATTGCCTCCTCCCACCGCTGGAAGCCCGATCGCAAACCTCATGCGGAGCATCTCTCGCTTGATGCCCTTCGCTCGAGGGCCTGGGAATTTCGATCGAAGGTGTTAGGTGCGATTCGGAAATCTCCGATCACCGAGCACTCTCCCAAGGTCTGGGAAGGGACCATGGAAGATGTTCGAGAAGGGTCGGCGATCGGTCCCTTCTTCGACGAGGCCGAAGTCTCGGAGTTCGTCGGCGATGATCGTTGGATCCCTACTCAGCGCTTTGAAGTGGTTCAAAAGAACAAAGTCAGGGGAGTTGACAGTGCTACCTCAAATGGGATCAACATGGCGACGATCGTCACCGAGAAACTCGAACTCCCCTCGACGGACGCGAACGTGGCGGTGATCAAGTGGCTGCGCTCGCGGCTGCCGAAGTCCCCGCTACGTGGTTGGGTCCTGGACGAGCGGCGAGCCTATCGGCAGGTGCCGATCTCTCCGGCCCATCGCAAGTGGAGTGTGGTCGCTCTGAAGGACCCGGCCACGGGAAAGGTGGCGTTCTTCGTGATGGTCGGCCACTCCTTCGGCTTGGTCTCGGCCGTCTATAACTATAACCGTCGCTCGGCTGCGATTACCGACATTCTAAGGCGCGTGTTCATCGTGGCCGGCTTCAACTTCTATGACGACAAGTACGGCTTCGAGCCGGAGGCCACGGCAGATAGTGCGTTCGCGCTGGCCGAGAAGGTCCATTGGTGGCTCGGGGCCCGGTTCGATCAGCAGAAGCTTCAGCTCTGCTCGGATCCCACGATCCTGGGCGTGACCTATGACCTCGATCAGTACTTGCTCAAGATCAAGAAGTCCAGGAAGCAGGTCGAAGAGCTCTCGTCGATCCTGGAACACGAAGAGCTGTCTCCCGGCCAAGCCGGGAAGCTCAGAGGAAAGCTGATGTTCGGCGCTTCGCAGCTCTGGGGGAAGATCGGCCGAGCCTTCCTGAGATCTCTGTCGGAGAGGCAGTACTCCCGGAAGACGGTCAGTACGAGCCTATCGCCTGCTCTCCTCTACTCCCTCTACAAGTGGCGGACGCTCGTGATGCATGGGCCTCCGAGGCCTATCCCCAGTTCGGGGCCGCGGAAGTCCGACGTGGTGATCTTCACGGATGGATCGGCGCCGAGCTCGAACCCCAAGGATCCCTCTTCTGAGATGATTGATTGAGGAGTGATGTTCACTAGGGACGATCAGCCTAGGCAATTCGCCTCGGGGGTGTCATGGCAGATCATGTCGAGGTCGTTCCCCCGGAAAACCCAAATTTGATCGAACTTTTAGCCGCGGTCACTGCGATACAGACTTTCAGGGAAGAGATCCGTGGAAAGCTGGTCCTCCTCTTTATCGATTCCGAGCCTGTAGAGGCAGCTTTGATCAAAGGCTACTCTGCAAAAGAGGACGTCTGCGAGCTCGTAGGAATTTTCTGGGAGCTTGTTCTGGAGCTTAGGTGCTCTGTTTATATCGATCGGGTACCGACCGATTCGAACCCGGCGGATAATCCCTCTCGTGGTGATGTCGCTACAGGTCTGATGTGTGGTTGGATCACTGTCCTCTCGGACTTTCCGAAAGGAGTTTGAGGGCCTGGGAATATCGCTTGTCTGATGTGTCCGATCGGATGATGTTGCGGTCTGTGGTGAATGCCATGGCGCACCCCTCGGCGATCGGGGGTCCGATCGGACTTGTGAAGATCAAGTGAAATTTTGATGATCCGACTGTGGCCGACTCCCACGTTGCGGTCGCATGAAAAAGGTGCGATCGCCGATCGTCTGTTCAGTGAGGGCACCGAACGTCTGCGATCGTAGTAACTGGTCTCCTAATTATCGGTCTGGTGGGTAGGAATTAGGAGATCAGTTTCGCGATCGTTGGAACAGACTTGATCTATCTTTTCCGTGGCCATTTTGGCGATAGCCGATCGGGCCATACCGAAAAATCCCACCCTCTCCGCCCTATCTGTTCTTTTCGGTATGCGGGATCCTCGCAACGACGTTGGCCTTCAAGCGCTCGCTTTTGGCGACACAGATCAGCTCTGCCGTCCCTGCGTGGATTGCGGCCTGTTCACCGGCTGCTTCTGCGACGGGGACGGCCAAGACGAATGTTACGCAGCCGTTCGGGTCCCCCGCGAAGAGTGGGCCCCCAACCAGCGCACTCCTTTGTGCACGGCTTGCGATCGTCGCCTGGATATGTGTCATTTCTGCCGAAAGACCCCCTGGGTCACGCCGCCGGCTCATCGTGATCGCGATCGTCACCAGCCGGCCGGCTACGATCACGGGGCAGATCCTCCCCTCAACTGGGATCAAGTGATGGGCGTGCCCTCTGTTCAGCGGCCGGTGCCCAAAGCGCCCCCGGCCAAAGCTGCTCGAAACAGAGGCATGGATCAGCCGGTCTACTATGTGGATCCCAAGGCTGGTCTGCCGCGCCAAGGCCGAGCGGCTCCGAAAGGGCGTTCTCCTTTGTTCGCCGAGCCTGCTCAGTATTTAGTTCCAGGGCAGCCCCCCAGATCGCTCCCGACTGTGGCCGACTCCCACGTTGCGGTCGCATGAAAAAGGTGCGATCGCCGATCGTCTGTTCAGTGAGGGCACCGAACGTCTGCGATCGTAGTAACTGATATATATATATATATATATATATATATCGAGCCCCTGTTTTGGGTCTCTTGGAGGGGTCTCTCCTACGACGCCTTATTACAAGGCACTTTCTTGCGAAACTCGTTTTCAGCAGCAGGTCCGTCCCATAGCGCTGTTATGATACTTCTACGATCCGGAGCTTTAATTCAGCAGCAGGTCCGTCCCATAGCGCTGTTATGATACGTCTACGATCCGGAGCTTCAAAGCCAAGAGGGATGTCACAAAGTCCGTCATGACTGAAGGGGGAGTCAGCGCCGTGGGCGGTCGGTCAGTACCGAGACTAGTTTCTGAAGCCAACCGCTGTGCAGTCACTGCTATACCATGCTGTTGCATGCCACAAGTTGGGCCGAGCGGCGGTGCCGGCGGTGCGACGCAGTGTAGCCGCGCAGTGTAGCAGCAGGCTGAAGCTCGAAGACGAGCAGCAGCTCAGGAGCCGAAGTCGACACTGCTGCGCTGCTACACGGACGCTACGCAGCAACGCATGCCCTGCTCGCTCTGCTCTGTTTTCTCAGGAGCGGACCTGACATGAAGGAGCTGATCTATCACGGTGTGTCTCACGACCACCAGGGCCGGAGAGCCTATCTGCAAGCCCGCAGGACGGGCATTTCAGGGTGCATTAGTAAATTGGTGCGTTGTGCTCTCCTGAATTGGCCGTCCGCAGGAGGCTCTGGCCCCAAGATCGCCTCCCTGCGCCTGTGACCTCAGCAGCAGAGGCAGAGCCGGCAGAGCAGAGACCAGACAAGTTATGGGAGCCGTGCAACAAACGCAGAGGATAGTTATAGTTGACTTCGCAGGTGGGCTGGCAAAGCTACGCCGGTCCAGACAAGATCGTTGGCAAACAGTTGGATTTTAGGCAGCACCAAAGGCATCTTTGACCTGAGTGTTGCCTGTCTTCCGAGTTCACCAATGCTGCCTGTTCTGTGTGTCTTCACGGGTTTAGTGGCAGGCGGCCTGGTCCGTGAAGTCCACAAACCCCAGTGACTCCAGTGCTTGAGTGACTGAGTGGCAACTCAAGGGAAGCTGTGCTTGAGGCACTATCCCTCCCGATATCTCAGGGCACTCCGTAGTCGTCATCGTCCTCTCCACTCGGAGTTCAAGCTGGCAAGAGCAGAGGGAACGACAAAGGACAAACAAAAGCCGAAGTGCACCCAAGCAGCAACCTGCGTGCGACAAGAGCGAAGCTCGACAGGGCAACCCAAGAGCGAGCGTCGAACGGCCAGCCGCGCACAAAAAGTGCGAGGTCCAGCAGGACACGCGTGGGTTGGCCTCCAGCCACGCCCCAAGCGCGGCCAAATCGCATGAGGGCACCCCTGAGCCTGCCACAGCAGTGGCCCCAGCGCAACTCAGAGAGGGAGTCCACGACCTTTTTGATGCATGACCAGACTGTGCTAGAAAGTTCCAAAAGTAGCGGCATCACGGATTGTCCACAATCCTGGCTGATGCGGCAGAAGGCAACTGTGTGAGACTAGGGAGAAAGTGATACCACACTTCTCGTGCACCATCTTCGACAACCTCAGAGGACAGATCTTAGTCTTGGAAGTTTCCAGTCCTGCGGATACGGTGGAGGGCTAGTTGCAAAGCGAGGAGCGATGAGATAAATCAACACCGAGAAGAGATCCGCACACGATGGCACTGAGGATCCAGTACCCCCTCCTCCTAGCACCATCGTGCTGGGATGAACTCATGTGAGAGGCAGAGGAACGCCCCCCTTTCAGAAGAGCAGCTGAGCCAGTTCAAGGCCGCCCCCAGGGTGCATAGCCGTAGCCCATCTTCACAGTCACATTGCGAGATGCTTCGTCGAAGACGGCCCGTGTCAACAGATCGTGATGTTGAAGGTTCAGCTACTCTTTGCAGAGCCATGACATCGCAAGAATGCGTGATGGGCACTGCATGTACTTATACGAACACATGACTTCCGACAACGGATCTTGTTCGGCGGTCATCTAAACGCTGCCATCTTCGTGCTGGACTTGAGGAAGGTGCACCTTTGGAGCCTCTGGACCCATCGGGCATGAGACAGTTGCCTGCCAAAGGCAGAAGTTCTGTCGTGCCAGATGAGCTTTTGGAGCGCTTCAATGCGAACCCCGCAAGCACTTGTCGCATGTTGGATGTCCACCCTTGGAAGTCTCATTTCTGTGATACTCTTATGTTGAGCTGTGGATGCCCAATCGTGGTGCTGGGTCACGTGCATTCAGAAGCCGAAGCTGGAGCGCTTGGCGTGTGGAGCAAACCAGAGCGGTGACAAACAGAGCGTCTCGCCTGTGGAGTCGGAGCCGGAAAGGCTGGTTTCCATGCAACGCAGCTCATGCATTGCTGGCTGAGGTGGCAGAAGCCAGCCCGGATCGAGGGCGTTCAATCGTCTTCCAGGCTCCGGTGCAAGCTAACGACAAGTATTTCTTTCGTCTTTGTAACTAGAGCATGAGAAGCTTCTGCTAGGTGCGACTCTCGCGGCATGCTCAGTCCCAGAGAGGGGTTCAGAGCGCAGAGCGGCAGAGCTGTGATCAGCTCTTCGAGTTGAGTCCTGTCTGTAGAGAGGCGAAACCAGGACCAGGACAGGACCAGAACGTTTGCAAGACCGAGGCCAAGGGCCAGGGCTGCCATCGGCCGCGGCCTTAGAGATCCCTGCCTAGGCTCTGCGCTTGTCCTTTGGTTGCAGCCTTTGGCCAACGTGGGGAACGTGCGTATCATGCCATTGTCCTTCTGATTCATTTCCACTGCCCTTCAGGGTCCTGTGGATGCTCAGGGCCGCTTGGGAAGGCAAGCAAGTCAGGGCTTTGCGCTCTTGCGCAGAAGGTTTATGAGCAAGATTGCCACGGCAGGGCCATCAGCTGGAAGCCAGCTGTGGTACAACAGGTGCAAGTTGAGTGCAAGCATTATTCATGGCCTGGGTCGTCTACACACTCGTAGCACGAACGGGTAAAGAGAGCAAGTTCCTGCGACAGATTATTTCACGAGAGCGATGTGTGGCACTGTGGGGGAACGGCGGTAGCGCTGGATAAGAGCGCTTTCGGCGGCCAGGGTAGTCTGGTTTTGTTATTGTTGAAGCCGGTCGGGGAGTCTGGTGTTTTCTTAACTTAAAAACCATATTTTCTTATCGAGTCCGCCTGGGCTCAATGGAGGACCCAAGATCTGCCACAGAGCTCCTCCAAGAACGGGATCAAGTAAGAAAACCAGCCTCTGAGATTTTCTTATTTCTCTTTGTTATCCTGGAGCTCTGAGAAAATGAGACTTTTCAGATTATCTTGTTTAGCTCTGCCTCAGGTCTACCTGGTGTCCATAAAAATCCTTCGCCCTCCAGTAAAGCCTTAACCGTGAGGCTTTCTCTGTTGCGTTTGAGGTTCAGTTGGGGTGCGCGGGGTGCTCTGGTGTACTAGATTTTCAAGGCAGTGAGCTTTTGGCCGACGCTTTTGGACGGTTCGCAGAGTTTTGCCCGCTCCGCTTGCAGTCGGTTTCTCCGTCGGCCTTTGCGACTGCCTCCTCCAGGCTGCCGGAAGCAAAGAGTCATCCTACGACAGTTAACTAGACAGGAGATGAGGGGTCATGATCTCCAGGAATGTGAGCTGGGTCCCGGCCACGGCGGGCATGGGTTCCCAGGAAGCCACATCCATCTCGGTTAAGGCCTGTGTTGACCACTGGCACCTAAAACCTCAGCTTGCAGCCTGGCAGGTGGTCAGGCAGGCCAGCTGGACTCCTGCCCGAATGCCATGCTCTCGCAATCAGGGTGAGACTTTCGACATCAGGAACTCCACACGCAAGTGCATTGAGCTGCATGGCTGTCACTGCCATTTTCAGGGGAGTCTGCTCCAATGTTCTGGGCACATGGCGGGAGTATGTAGATGTGTTGATTGTGCATCCCCAAGGCAGCCCAGAGAGTCGTCCAAAACAGATTTTGAATCATCTTCTCAGAAGCATCTTCCCTGGACGCCATGCATGCTCTTGGTGCCATGTTTGGTCAACAGACCTCAGACGGTTCGGCAGAGGAGAAGGTGGAGGCGAAGAGGAGTTTGAGGACACGGCAGGCACTCTCGGAGCAGCTGGGCAACTCTCGCAGCAAAGGCCAAGCGGATGGCGCGCTTGACCTCCCGATCAATTTCCTGGAAAATCTGTTGCTTTCTTCCAAGAAAGAGTTGGATGATCGCCTTGATATCGATGAGGTGCAGAAAGCCCGCGACAAACTCCTTGATGCACTCTACGGTAAAAAGATCCGGGGCGGAACGAACGAAGAGATGAATGGCATTATGATCTACAAGGGTCGCCCTTTGAGAGCACAGCTTCTTCACTTCGCCGTCTGGGTATCGGCCCAACTTCACGAGAACTCCTGTGTCGCCAGACTGCTGCCGTACCTGTCACAGTCAGATCTCAGTGCTAAGGCCAAGTACCGGTTAAAGCCGGGGAGTATGGACGAAGCTTGGTTAGATGCAATTCATGTTGCATCTGGGCTGGGCGCCGTTCCGGTAATGCACGTCCTCTTGCAGCATGTGACACAAGCCACAGGCATTGACTCTGCAACATATGTAAACACACCATGTTTGGTTCACCACGTGGCACGCCAGACTGACATGAATATGAATGAGCAGTCCAACGCCGACGCGAGCTCCCCGGAGGAGTGGGATGAGGACTTTTACATGCCACTCCACGATGCCACCAATGCAGGCAACGTAGAGCTATCTCTTTGGTTGCTGGCCCATGGTGCCGATGCATGTGCCGGCAACAAGGACGGCGTGAGCCCTTTGCATTTTGTGGCCACGCGTGGAATTGAGGGTGGACTGGAAGCCGAGAGTCAGGTCACTCACCTTGTCCAGTCTCTGCTCAGGCGGGAATTGCCAGATCTTTTTATGCAGTAGCGGCTACTCATATTGTAGCGAAGTCACCGTAGATGCAGCACGGCGTAAGCATCACGTGAGAGGCACCGGGCTGGGCTCGATGTGAGAGTTCCTGAAGAGAACCCAAACAAGCAGATGGCCGGCAAGACGCCATTGGAGCTGGCAGCCCTGGACGGAAGCCGCCCCTTGGACTTGACGCGACTTGGGGGATATGAACGGACTTGAGGGATGCGTTTGTAGATGTCTCTAGCGTGGAGGTGCATAGCATAGATGCCTTGACGCTGACTGGTAAGGCTTCCCGAAGCACATGATGCACGTCTTGGCCCCCTGCCTGAACAGTCTGTCGGAGCCGACATTCTTCAGTGACATCTACTTCCTGGTGGGCCTCAACGAGGACGCTGCCCTGGAAGTGGTGCGGGAGTTGGCTCGGCGCTCCATCCGTCAGCCAGAGCTCTTGCACAACCTACGCTTTGATTCGCAACTGTCCGGGCGCACGGATGTGATGGTGGGACTTGATTCGAACAAGCTACTGCAAGCTCTTGATATCCGTAGGAAGCTACTGCTCCCAATCATGTGGCATGCTTGGGGCTTAGGGCCTTAAGGTTTACGGTCTGCAATCAAAGCCGCTATTTCAATGAAGCTCCGTGCGGTGTTTGCAGGCGGCAATCTTCTTTGAGGCGCCCTCCGCAGCAAGCGAAATGTTGGACTTGCTGATGGTGGAGCCACACGTGCAGGATGTGGCGAAGCACAATGTGCCCAATAAGACGAGCTTCTGGGGGCTGTTCAGCAACCTGCCCATGCACTGCACCTATCGCCCAGATGTAGTTGTGCAAGATAGCCTTCTCATCCCGAGCTGGAAATTTGACAGCCAGAAATCGTTTGACCAGCAGCCAAACATCCAATGGCACGCGGACTTTATCCCGGCGGTGCACAAATCGAGACAAAGCCGGGACCATGTTAGCTCTGTCTGTGTCAAGGCTCTCTTGATCCCGAACATGTTAGACATGGACATTGTGATGGCCATGTCCAGAGTTGAAAGCCAGGACTTGCCCGTTTTTGGAAAGCTGTCCATCCAGGGTATCGTCCATTGCTTGTGGGAAAATTTGTTCCAGACTGCATGGCACTTCAATCTCTTTTGCATGGTCGTCGAGCTCGTGTGCTGTGTGCACTGGGGCTTGGCTGGGTTGCACACACTGTCCATCAACACTAAGGAGGGTACGTGGGCTACCGTGTCTTGGGTCATCATGACTTCCAGCGGCTTTCGGGACATTTTGCTACTGCTTGTGCTATTGTTTAACTGGTCAAGCAAGCAACTTGGTCATCAGAGTCCTTTAATGCAGAGCATGTGGAGCTTGCGATCTTCTACTCTTGCGACCTGGTGCCTTCCGACGCTTTTTCTATCGCTCGTCCAGCTCGTGTTCTCATACAGTGCACAAAGTTCAGTGCAGAAGCTGACGTCCTTTCCGGAGGAGGAGCTCCTTTTTCTGTCAACCAACGTCCTGTTCAGAAGTTGGACAATCATCTACACCTGCCGTCTCCACGCCTCAGGATTGCCAATCCATGCAATTTCGAACTCTCTCGTTGGAGGTGCCACACGACAGATCATGGTCATCACGATGATGATCTTTGCATCCTTTTGCTTTGCCTTCCTGATCATTGACAGCAACAGGAAGAGTAGCTGGGTTCTGAGCTCTGCCTACAGGGGCCTGCTTTTCGGCTCAGGCATGGGCCTTGACAATCTGGGACTGGACGTCGGCCCAGGTTTCGGTGACAATGACGTACTTATGACAGAGGTGAGCGTCATCGGCTCCTCTTTTTTCTGTGTCATTGTGCTGAACTTGATCATTGCTGTTTAC